GGATCAAAGTCCAGCCACCAGACACTTCTGGAACATTCCAGGACTCCCGAGCCCCCCAAGGGTGCTCTCGGTGGCACCTCAGTCCTGAGCTGCTGAGATCCCACAGAGTGCCAGACTGGTTTCAGCCCAAGGAGCAGCAATGTCCCAGAGCCTCCATTGCCATGCTGGGCTGTGGCTGTGGGATCAGAGCTGGTTTTGGGACACAGAGTTGTTCTGTTCCTTTCCAGGCTGCAGTCATTCATGGAGTGTCTTTTCCATTGGGTTTTGCAGAAATCCTCCCCAGTATCTGCTTTTTCACTGACTGAAATCAGGGTTTGCTGTGCCTTGATCCCTTTTCCCTGAGGCTGAGCAGGGTTTTGCTGCTCCCTCCTTTCAAAGGAAGATTTATTTCTCACCAGCACTTTATGAAGTTCTTCTCAGGTTCTCCTTCTCTGGCCATGATGTTGGACCTAATTTAGTGTCCAAATGAGAGCATCTCCTGCTTTTACACATCTGCTCCTTCCTGCTGGAGTGCATCAGCCTGGCAGACACTGGGATAACTCGCACCCACTATAACTGGGAAATGTTGTGCCTGTTCAGCTTCTCTAAAAGTGAGGAAATAAAAAGTTTTCCAGGTGGGCATGAGGATGTGCCACTTCTAGCAGGGATCTGCTTGGTTTTGCCTTCCTTTCTTGCTGTCCTTTAATTAAAATTGGTGAAATATATTTCATATAAATCATGGAGTTGATGTGGATGTAACATGAAATATTTCCTGGTTGTCCTTGCAGGGCTCAGCTGTGGTTTTGTGACAACAACACAGAGCAGGGCCCAAAAATGAGAAATTCTCTGCAGAGTGATCTTGTGGAGTTGCTCACTAATAACAGCATTGAAGTCAGAGGTGTAGGGAGAGAAATGTTCATTGTTGGAGTTTTGTGCCGTTCAAACCCGTTGGGTTTTTATCCCCTAAAACTCAGGACCACGAGAGAAGCTGTCAGTGAAGCATCTGCTATTAAACATTGACACTTGCCTTAATGACTTTAATTAAGAATGTCTTGAGCCTCGGTTTTTTTAATTGATTGTATCTTCCCTTTTGTGTGTAGGTATGGGATTTCATTTTTAGTTACTTGATTGGCTTCAAGAACACGAAGATAAAATTCAATTTAAATAACAAAACAAAACCACTTCTCAAAGCTGTTGCCATTCTTCTTGCTCTTAAAGAAGTGACTTGTTGGCTGATATTAAATTCTGCTTAGTGAAGCTGTGACAGGACAACCTAGTTATGACCTCATTAAAAATAAAATAAGTTCAGAAGTATTTCTAGAGATTTTAAATAAATGCATAAGGTATAAAAATATTAAATTACAGATTTTTGTCTTGTAAAAAAATTATGGTTTAAATTTCCTCAAGACAGCAAAATACAAAGTGTCAGACTGAAGAAATGGAACTATTTTAAATAGTAGTATAAATATATATATATATATTTATATATAATATAAATAAAGTATAAATTTCCTCAAGACAGCAAAATACAAAGTGTCAGACTGAAGAAATGGATTATTTTAAATAATAGTAAAAAAAAAAATATATATATTTATATATAATATAAATAAAGTATAAATTTCCTCAAGACAGCAAAATATAAAGCGTCAGACTGAAGAAATGGAAAACTCAGTGCCTGTTGTTTTCTAGCTGATATTTCTTTGGGTTTGTAAAGGGACCATAGAAGGGTGAATGTAGAAGGGTGTTTTGGCTCCTTCCATCAATGAATATCTTGTGAGGAAATGCCTGAAAACTGCTGAAACAGAGACCAACTGATAGAAATTGTGTCCTTCAGCCTTGTTTTCTCTGTTGCCTTTGCAGTGAGCACTTGTCCTGCTCGTTCACCTTCTTCCTGCACGGGGACAGCAACGTGTGCACGAGCGTGGAGATCAGCCAGCACCAGCCCGTGTACCTGCTCAGCGAGGAGCACCTCACCCTGGCCCAGCAGTCCAGCAGCCCCTTCCAAGGTGGGACTGCTCCCCTGGGCCTGCCCAGCTGTGCCCAGCTGTGCCCAGCTGTGCCCTGTGCTCACTGCCAGGCGCTGGGTCCTGGCCCTGCTGCATTTGCAGGTGCAACATTTGCATATTCATCTCTTGCCGTGTAATTGAGTCGTTTGTCCTCATGATACCCATTCCAAGTGTTGTCATTTTGGTGACTTCAAGATTTTGTTGTTTCAACCTTGTAACCCCCAGATACCTTCACCTTGCCCCTCTGAGACATCCATTTCTGGATTTAACCTATTCCTCAGTGTGTTTAACCTTTTCCCTTGGCTCTTCCTTGCCTGTAAGTGCCTGTGGTTCCCCCAGCAGATGCAGGCTGTGCTCTGGAAGACAGAGGAGTGCTGGGGCCTGAGTCTGGTCAGTGGGGCTGTGTGATCCCTCCCTGCATGGCCTCACTCCCTCAGCACTGCTCAGTGCCCAAACTTGCTTTTTTTCCTGAATGCAACTTAACAGCAGCTGTGCTTCCCTACTATGGACAAGACTAAACATGAACCAGATCATTCCCTCTGCATTCCCTGTTGTTGTAACCAGGATGGAAGGATGAGGAAACACCTCAACTCTGCCAGGATCTGGAAGTGTTTCTTTATCCCACCTGTATCAGACTCCTTGCAAGCCCAGATGAAAACCTGCCTGTTGCTTGTTTGAATGGATTAATCTGTAGTTGTTATTGTGGTTCCTCAGTTCTTACAGCACCTCTGAATTTAACAATGGGAACCTGTTGCCAAAAGCTTGGGTAGTAAATCATCATTAGGCTGCATTTTGACTTGCCAGTGGTAAATTGTAAATTACCAGTGGTAAATTGTTTATTTGGTGTGGCTGAAATAAGAGTGCTGCTGTTGCAGAGGGGAGGAGGGAACTTGGGGTGAATCCCATCTCCAATGGGTTTTTATCTCTGTTCCAGTTATCCTGAGCCCCTTTGGGTTGAATGGCACACTCACAGGGCAGTCCTTCAAGCTGTCTGATTCATCCACAAAGAAGCTGATTGGGGAGTGGAAGCAATTCTACCCTGTCACATCCAACCTGAAGGAGGGATCTGAGGAGAAACAAGAAGAAATGGACTGGGAGGATGATTCTTTAGCTGCTGTTGAAGTCCTTGTTGGTGAGCCTGATTACCTTTAATTGCTGGAATAAACTGGCTGGATAAACCTGCAAAATTCTGGATGCAGGAGTGACCCCATTTGATTCCTTTGCAGCAATGCTTGTTGGGTTTGGTTTTCCTGTTTGATGCTCAGCACTGTCCATGATGAGTTGCTGCTCAGAGTGGATTTTGCAGAGCCATTAGTGGGAGATCTTGTTCTTATGTGCCCTGGGAGGGAAGATTAAAAAAAATAATAAAATAAGAGAGTAAAAAAAGCCCTGGATGATGTCTGTTGACATCTGAGCTGAATCCAAAGCAGGTTGTGCTGTTTCAGAGTCCCTGCAAATTCACACAGAGCAGACCTGCCTTTCAGGGATGTCTTCAAACCCACAGTCCTGGAGAACCTGACTTAGTCAGGCCCTGCCTTTCTCTGCTGGTTTCCCAAAACCCCAGCCCAGAGCAGAACAATCCCCTGCTCCCAGGGGCATTGATATCCCAGCAAATCCCTGCTCTGTGAGGAGCTGGTAGTGCAGGGATGGCTGCAGCCCCTCGTGCTGCTGGGGATGCTGGCAGGGCTACATGATCCTAAAAAGGATTTTTGCAGCCTTTTATAAAACAAAATGACAGAAGCAGGTAGCAGCAAAGCAGGTAGCAGCACGTGGATGTCCCTGCCTGTACAAAACCCTTTTTATTCATACAGAAAATTTGGGCAAATCTTCTGTACGAATAAAAAGCACGGGCAATTCTTCTGTATGAATGAAGCAAATCAAGCAATGATGGAGGTGCCAGCAGAGGGTTTCTGTCCAAGGAGATGCTGCAGTGGGTGGGAGAGCTCTGTGAGCCAGGGGTTCCTGTGCAGGGCTGCTGTGGTGGCTCTGGGTGTGAGCAGGCGTGCGCTGCCTCTCTTGCAGCTGGCGTGAGGATGGTGTACCCGGCGTGCTTCGTGCTGGTGCCTCAGACTGACATCCCTGCTCCCAGCTCCGGGGGGGCTCCCCACTGCTCCACTGCCTGCCTGGGGGTCCACCAAGTGCCTGCTTCCACCAGAGACCCTGCCATGTCCTCCGTCACCCTGACGCCACCCACGTCCCCAGAGGAGGTTCAGACAGGTGGGAAGGAATTGGGTTCTGCACCAGGGAATTGTTCCCATGGTTTCTTCTAACACTGCAGAGTTTGAGGGGATTCAGGGGCTGTGTGTGCAGCTGCCTTGGGAGGGAAAATCACATTTCTGTAGTCCTAAGTTTGTTATAGTAAAACTGATGGCACCAGCTGTGGGCAAAGTGAACTCAAACTCTGCT